CAGAATTGCGCCGCTCCAGGTGGCTGCATGTTGGAGCAGCTCTGTTACTTTCATTCTGAGATTTTGCTTTTGGAAAATTTAATTCCTCTTTTTCTGGATGTAAATCTAATTTTTTTGGATGATTGTTTCCTCTGGTATCAGATGCTGTGCAGCTGGAAGGATTTTTACTGAAACATTTTTAGTTTTGTGCATTCGTTATGATGCGTAACCATGGCAACAAGGCAGTTTTCTACAACAAACAGCAGCTGATTAACATCTCAAAATCTCCAATGATATCTCAACTACAGCTCCAAATCTCAAAAGAAAAGGATGTTCTGTGGACACATTCTCATCTACCTGCCAGCTGTGCTCGGGTGCCTGACCACTGAGATCCTGAAACTAGCAGGAAACATGGGTCATGACAGCGGAAGGACGGGATCGTCCCTCAGCGCCTACAGTCGGCTGTCCGCAGCGACGAGGAGCTCGGCAAACTGCTGGGAGGAGTGACCATCGCTCTGGGAGGAGTTCTGCCTGGCATTCGGGTGGTCCTACAGCCTGGGGGAACTGAGAGGCCAGCCGAGTGCTACAAGACCTTTACAAGACCTTTGGTCCTTTGAGCCAATGTAAACTCTTCATGGTTAAGTCCAGGTTTTCCATGTAGCTGTTTAATTGTTTTGTAAAATTTAGTTAATATCTCCAAACAATTACAGTACTATTTTCTGTACCTGTGATAGTCTTGTAAAAGAGTTTTACCCAACATGGGTTAAACGATGGCCCAGATGCTATCAATGCATTAAGGATATGGACAAAATGACTGCACACTAAATTATCACAAAAAGTCAGACAGTTCAGCTGAACAATTTCTAATTAATCATTATGGACCTTTACAAGAGATCCTTCCTGCCTACAGCCATCAGTATCTGTAGGATCTCTCAATGAAATAAGGATAACGAGTTACAACAACAAATAATTTCCCTTTGGGATTAATAAAGTATTTTTGAATTGAATTGAATTGAATATACATAAACATATATACATATACATATAAATACATATACATAAAAAAACAGATTCCAAAAAAGTTGGGACACTAAACAAATTGTGAATAAAAACCAAATACAATGATGTGGAGATGGCAATGTCAATATTTTATTCATAATATAACATACATGACCGATCAAATGTTTAATCTGAGTAAATGTAACATTTTAAAGGAAAAATATGTTGATTCAAAATTTCACAGTGTCAAAAAATCCCAAAAAAGTTGGGACAAGTAGCAATAAGTGGCTGGAAAAAGGAAACTGTTAGGAGTGCGTGGGGAACCCAGATGATATGAGACCCAGAACGAGGCAGACACAGGGGAAGTACAAAAGAACAGTGTTTATTATTTACAGTGATATTAGTCCACACGCTGCTTCTCTGCAACTCCTGGAAAGAGGGACGACAGGTTAATGTTGGTCCAGAGGGGAAGACCAGAGTGGTTTGTTTGAAGAGCGTTTTTGTCCTTACAGTCCAAACCCGAAGGAGGGGAGCTGGTCCTTCAGTCCAAGGAGTGAGCAGCCGAGGGAAATCCAACGAGGGTCCAAGGGAACGAGGAAGGCTGGCAACTGGAGGCAAAAATGGCACGAGGAATACCTGACAGGCCGAGGGATCCAGATCAGGTCACGAGGGAATCCAAAAACACGAGGAACCAGGAAACTGGAAAAGAGAACACAGGTG